TCGCTCGTAGAAGTCCAAGACGAAGTAGAAATATGAAACAAGTCGTACAGATTTAGTCAAAACTTTAATCAAAGCGAAAATGATAAACGTTTTCTTGCAATTCTCATGTGTTTAGCACCTTCCCTCGTTCGAAAAGTGTAAGCGCCATGTTGAAAAATTCTGCTGTGTAACTAAACTACCATGATGCTTAGCAATTCCGCAATTGGCCCATTGTGTCGTTGAGTCGTGAAGTTTGTGGATGGAAAGTGGAAACATTGTTTTCAAATTTAAAGTTGACAATTCGAACGTTCTTATTGGCTAATTTAAGTCGCGTGGAGCAATTCAAAGTATTAAATTTGAAGTTTTGAAAGCTTCTCGCTCGTCGTTCTCGATATTTTACAGACATTTTGTAAAATACGTACGGCAAACAGATTGTTCTTGGAAGGATGATGGATGCAAGCGAACTTCAATGTACTGCAAACGTCGAAAAACTGAACGGGCAAGGCGTAGTTTTACGGCGAAATGTTTATAAATCGTGTACCACGATTCTAGGTCGTGACCAGTTTGGTGATATTCAATTGAGAATCGCAGCAAAACAACAAATCGTCCAAAATTTCTTGTTAAAAGACATCAACATCTTTCGGCGTTTTGTTAAAGAAGGCAAGGCAACGATTAAACTGTTGACCCAAAATGTTCTTGTGATGCTATCGAACTGTCCGCCGGACAAACTTGCTGCTTTTTTGGCCTGTTTGAAGGTCAAACTTGCTGTGAAAACTAATGAAGGGTTCACAGGAGATAGAAAGCGTCTTCGTAGTGAGCTGCCCCGAAGTTTCGAACATATAAGTCCTCTAGTAGAGAACGATTTAACAAAAGCGAAAGAAAATATCGCCCCGGCTACGTTGCATGATAAAACCCCCAAACGAAAGAGATGTGAAGGTCCTAGCGACAATGTGCCACGGAAAAAGCTCATGATTACTTCGAATAATGCTACGAAGAAGCCTGCAAAATCCAGCGTAAAGTTAAACAAGTCACAGTTAAGTGTATTGAATGCTGTAAAGTGTGGTCAAAGTGTTTTTATCACTGGAAGTGGAGGGACTGGCAAATCATTCTTGTTAAAGAAAATTATTGGTTTGTTGCCACCCCATAATACATTTGTAACAGCAAGTACTGGTGTGGCAGCATGTCAGATTGGAGGCATGACATTGCATTCATTTGCAGGTGAGTTACAACTCCCTTTGTTGGGTTGGGAACAGGGACGCCGGAACGATGCGAAGGCAATGGGGGCAGATTTTCGTGAAAGGGCACTTTTGAATTGATATACTGTATACTAAGAGATGTTTGCAAAACATTGGGAGTTGAACTAAGTCGCCTAATCATGTTTTCTATTTATTTGATGATAGGGGTGTGAGGGGGTTCTCCGCCAGGTGATTGTACTATTCTTGAAGCTCGATGACTGCATTTCTTGCGTTTTCTGAAGCAAATTCGTAAAAGATTTGCACTAACATTTCAGACAATTCGCTAATTCGCCAAGGCAATCCTTTAAATTGAAAGGGCACCTTTGCCCCCCTTGCCCCTCCTGGTACAGGGCAACAGGGACGGCTGCCCCTCCTGCCCCCCCCAGTTCCGGCATCCCTGGTTGGGAATATTATCGTTGGGAATATTACAAGCGAGCTAGTTACAGTATAGCTTTTTCATACAGGGTCAAACAAGTGCATACCAGTGGTGGACACTTGGGTGTATGGCCAGAGGGAAGGTGCTTGTACCC